GATATTGGAGTTGAGCGATTATTTGGACAGTTTCTTCTTGGGATTATGGATGGAGTGTTTTCCTTTAATAGGGTGGATTTAGTAGATTTTCTTTGTTTAGAAGTTGAATTATTCAAACAGTTCTGTGATAATGTTGCTAATGGTTTACTGCTAATACCGGTAGTGGGTGAAGGATTTGTTTCTATATCTGGGATTATAGCCTCTACTGCGGAATTATCAGCTTGTGTATCTTCTAGTACATCCTTCATAGATGTCAATGCTGAGTCCAGGTTATGAATTAACCAATCTAGTTAATTCCCTTGAAACATTATGGTGCCTGTTGTAAGGTATACATTGACATTGAGATGCTGCTGATTTTCAATTTTCAATTTGTACTGGCGATGGTCTTTGCAATCATTGATTGATTCAGGTTGCATATTTGATAACACCTCACTCCATGCATTTGAGAAAGAACCCACTGAACAACTAGATGAATTGAATTTCTGTCGTAATGGTGACTTTTTAGATTTGCCCCATTCTACGATGATGTTCAGTTTATGTTTCTCCACAACATTACGAATCCAGGCTTTGTTTAAGTCAAGTTCATCTGATATTGAATGTAACTCATCACTTTCATCAGAAAAAGTTGAATCAAAATTTTTATACTGCAGCTTACCGTTTGTGTCAGTCATAAATTTACTTTTGACATCCCGTTTGGTCTAAGAGTACCATCCGATTCATCCATCTTATTTTCAGTGAAAAAGTCACAGAATTTCAACAAAATCACATGTAAAATTGCTCCTATTCTTGCCTATCTCGATGCAATGATCCAAACAACTGGATGCTGGACAAAAAGCCAAGATTCAAATGGATTACCAGAGAGTGTTTTTCCCATGGGGGCTGTCATTGTTGAACAGCGCCCTCATGATTAATATAATAATAATTATCTTTATTGCATTCGTATCCCTAATAGGATATGAACTAAAATGCAATACAGATGTGAATAAAGACAAACATACAATTAGTGAGAATAAAAAAACACACAGGAAAAAAAAACTGACAAGCAAATAAAAGTAGGTGAAAAAAAAAAGTAAATTGGATTGTTTTCCATATTTGGGTTGGTGAATGTTTGGATTACTATTGCATGTACATGACCTTATCTTGCGATAGCTGACTATAATGTTTTCAGTTTTTCAGACATTTTCTGTCAGATATATCTGTGTTGTTATATCTCCCAGTCTCTATTTGTAGTCTGTGAGCACTAATCCTCAATTTTGTCATTGATGACCTGTGATGAGTATTTTTGACTACGTGTAAGTAGTTTTCAAAGTCAAAGTCTGTTTTCAGTTTTCTGTAAGTGCGCAATTTATTTTTGTGATTTTTCCTTTTGTTATCATTGTCTAAAATCTGTTTACAATTTTTTTCAAATTTTGTTTTTAGTTTCTCTGATATTATTTTATCTATAATTACATTGTTCGCATTTTATTCTTCCTGCTACAAATGGTCTATATTTAGATCTTCAAGTATAAGTTTTAAACCGGAAAACCAGTTGTAGGTGCCACAGTTGTCTAGTTCTAAGCCGAGACTGTATGCTTCATATACCGGAGAATTTTCAGGCATTTTTTTTATTCGAGACCAGTATTTGATCACCTGTTTTATCCCTGTTGTAATTAATGGATACTTTCCTAATTCTAAAAGACATGCCACATTGGTCGCTTTGCTGTTAACTTTGAGTAGGTATTTGCAGTATTTCATGTGCAATTGTTCCATTGGTGACATGATATTCATATACATCTTTTGTTGTTTAATTATACTATCTGACCAGATTTCTGCACAGTATAAAAGTATTGGTTTTATCATGTTATCAAACATTTTAAGATATGTTTTTATTGGTATATATGTATCTGAGAATAATAACTGTTTCATTTTGAAGCATGCTGAATACTGCAAATACAACTGTAACAGAGTCCGGCCATGATGCTCGTATATCCATGAAGGCAGGATCTTGCATATTTTTATCAGATAATTATCAGAGAATTATCAAACAATGTTGCCCATTGTATCGGTCTAATACCGATGTGAGTGTTTTCAACCTTAAATCCTTCGATAGCCTAACTATCGAAGTTTTAGATCGATAATTATCGGAGAATTATTTTTCAATTACCCTTTTTATGAAAGTTGTACTTCGATATTCATCAGTCACGGAATTGCAAGGTTTACATCTGGTAGTACCGTTCCAAATTTATCTACATATTAATTAAAATCATTTATTTATGTATTTATTATGCAAGAGATAAATGGGCACTGCATTTAGTATTCCGTAGTTTTTGAGATTGCCAAAAATACAATCGTCTCACACTATTTTCTTGTATTTTCATATTGTTTTTTCGGCCAACATTTATTGTTTACCTCCATGTATTATACATTTTCCTATCAATCTAAGACATTGATAGTTATCAGAGAATTATCGGAGAATTCCATGTTTAAAAAAATTAAACCACCACCTAGCTGTAGACCCTGTCTAATATCGATCTAAAACATCGAGAATTATCAGATAAATATCGTTAATTCAAATGTACAGTAGGCTGGCTTCCTCTAATGCCAGGAGCCGGGATATTGCACAAGTTTATACAACCTGCAAATTTGATTCATAATTCATCATTCAAGGTCCATATTAGTCACCATCCACATCCAGAATTCCACATTTTGATTTTTTTTAATCTTAAAATTTCTCGCCCATTCTCTCATAATTATCTTATTGTTAGATGGATATCAGAGAGGGATCTACACGTACAATACAACTTCTTTGCTACATATGTTTAGTAATTTACTTATGTAAATCTTAGGTCAAGCAACGTCTCGCCATTTGATGATTTTGAATAACTTATAATAAAGTTAACGAATTCATAATGTCAATAAGTGAGGGATTATACGATGTAATAACCAACGTAATATTTGTACACTACATCAAAATAGCTTTAATTTGATATATAACATGATGGTGTTTGTCTGAGGAATTCCTATTTAATATGTGACAGGCTATTACATAATTATGCAAATATCTAGAAAAAAATGTGTCTGTCACTTAAATAACTTTCAAATCCAGATTATTTGTATAAGATTGATCCCATAAAATTTACTTTTCATTTGATGCTGTGTTTAATTTTTTAAAGCTGACACATTCACCCTGATATTCGGGAGCAAATTATACCCTTTATATTTCTTAAAAACGGCTCAGATTCTAAAACCAAAATTTACCAAATTAATTCCCATGTTTCTATTTATTTTATGGCATGTAAATTTGACAGCTTTGTCTTACATTTTTTAAAATAAAATTAAAATTGTACAACCAGTATTCTGTAACTAGGCTGATCGCGTTGAACAGAGAAAAAACATGTTGCTTTGTTCTACCATGGGGAGGGGTATTTGTCCACATTTGGCTTCTGACCACTAGCATGCATATTTCCATTGAAAAAATAGCACATTCTGGCCGGCTCAGAATTTAGTGGATGATAGTCGACTGATCAACAGTAATATTACTGTAGTCTCTGCCTAATTGTTTAAAACTGACTTGAAATAAAAGAATTGAATTGTGTTAATGGGCTGGTGGATGAGCTGGTTGGGTAATAATGAGAGAAAATATACCTGCTTTTTTGAGAAAACTATTAAAAAAAAAAATTTTCAAAATATAATTCTGGACAAGTTAAAAAAAACTCAAAAGAAGATCCCACACAATTCTGGCGAATAATGAGAGACTTGGGTAACAGTGCAAATTCTAAACTGCCAAATAAATATTTCAAGAACTTCTTAAATACATGTAATAAAAACAAACTTAAACAGAATCAAGCATGAGTAATTATGTTAAAACTGAAAAACAAGGAGAAGAAAGTCAGAGCAATAACATTTCAAACGAACTTATCAAAAGATTAAAAATTAAAGTAAACAAAAAATCATCTTGAAAAAACACTTTGTAATGAAATGTTCGAAATTGGTGGAGATTACCTAACATAAGCTCTTTAATATAACTTCAATTCTAATAAATATCCTGAACAATTTTGGTTCAAAATCAAACCCATTCAACTACAGGGGTATTGCCATCTCAAGCTGTCTAGGAAAATTATTAAATAAAAATATTCTTACAAAACAACAGTTTGGTTTCAGAAAAAAATGACTAGCAACTTCTTCATCTTAAAAACAATTGTTAAAGCGAGAGAGTCGTCACCTGCGCATGCGCCAGGTGGCCATAGCATGTTATTGTTTACAAAAACGTGTTTTGTTGTTATCATCGCTTGGTACTCAATTCCTGCACGCGCGCAGGTGACAACCCTCTCACTTTAATAAGTACCTTCACAGTACAGTAAAGAATCAAACCAACAAGAAATTCTAATAAAGTTTATGCATGTTTTGTAGACCTAAGAATGGCATTTGACAGTGTTTGGTATAATGGCCTTTATTCAAAACTTCTAAAATATAGTGTCACAGAAAAAATGTTTAAAAAATCAATGACATACCAAATAGTTCTGGCATTGACAGTTGTGATTCACCTTTATTGAATAATACATGTATGCTCATGTATGCTAGCAAGGTAATCATTCTATCAAAATCAAAAATACCTGCTTAGATAAATTAGCCATGTACACCTCAAAATGCCATATGACAGGGAATACTGAAAAAACTAAAATTATGATTTGTAATAAATCAAATAAAAATATCCAATTCTTTGCTTCATACAAAAACAGGCAATTAAATATATGAACAGAATATCCAACTCCAGTAACACACTCTTATATGAGGCATTCTTGGTTAACAGAAAAGTGAAAAGCAAATAGTACATGAAAATTAAATCCATTCTTAATGATGATGCAAACTACCATGAACTAATAGATTCTCATGATCCAATAACATATTAAACCTTCATATAAAACTAAAAAAAATATATTTTCAGTACATTGAAAAATGAAATACATGATGACAATAAAAGAATCAGTAACAGGAAAACAAATCTAAGAACCTACCGCCTTTTTAAACAAAATTATAAGTTGAGAGGATTATTTGACAAAAATTAAAAATATTGAACTCTAGGAATTAATTAGTAAGTTTTGTCTAAGTAACCATTTACTGAGAATTGAAACAGGAAACCATACTCAGTTGCCAGCAAATGAAAGGGTACGTTTTCTCTGTAACACAAATCAGATTGAAGATGAACAAACATTTTGTGATGTCTTGCCCTGCCTATGCCCAACACCGAAACATTCTATTTACGGAAGCAAGGAAAATATCCCTAAATTTCAATAAAATAAACCATGATTACAAATTCAGAGTTATCTTGAGCAATAAATCCCTATCAAATCCTTTAGGCCAATATTTGTTGATCTGTTTTGAATCTAGACAGCAACACCTACTAGACATGGATGTCACCTAATACTCTTCAATTTTTTTGGATTTTCGGCCATTTTCATTTTTAATTGTTTCTTTTTTGTGTATGTGTACTTTGTTGTACTTTGTTGTGTCACTTTTTATGTTTTGGTTGTTGTTTTGTGTGTACTGTATTCATTATCATCCAGTCCAAAAAGAAACTTCTGAGGTGAAGGAAATTTTGAGAGAACTAAAAACAGCATAATTCTGTCTGAATTTTAGAAGCTAAAATAATTGATGAAAATCTGTTTATGCGCGACTGAAATCTGATTATTTTGATATATTTTTTACCTTAAAATGGCTGCCATTCCTTCATCATGAATTGAATCATTATATGATGTATGATCTGGCATGTCAGATATATGGATTTAAAACTGAATTCTTTATAGCAAAATGGTCAACTATTTTGAACTTGATCGGCATAAATAAAATTGCATTCAATGAATGTACCAAGTTTATAGCAAATCCCGAACCTAATCTCAGTCACGCATGAACCAATTCTTGGTATGCATGATGAACGTAATGGGACCTTGATGCGTTCCATTATATTTGTCGAATAGGGTTAAAGAATGCAGTTCGTAATCCATATATTCGACATGCCTGGGCCGATAAAATTCAAACTTCACACATACATGTACGTCAGACATCAGATATTTTGTCAACATCTAAAAATTTAAACTTCACAAATACATCACACATTAGACCATATATATATCCCACATCTATAATACAGTGACAATAACTTGTTCTATAGCCTTACAATATATCTGTAACATTTCTTGACTGATCAAATTTTACACATACATTACATCACTAATATGTTCATGCAATGGTTGTAGCATTTCAATATGAACAAATGGTGTCAATTTAAAAGCTGAAAAATAGTAAAAATCATTCATTCCTACAATTTTGGATCTAAGTCATGTCATCATGCTAACAACATCATCTTATTTTTCATAACGAATTCAAAATGGCTGAATGTTGTCCATGTTGTTTTAATGATTACTGATTCAGAGACTTTCTGATTTTTCCTTGTTTTGACACATGCATTCCAATATGAACTCACACTGAACACAGACAGGGACTATGTCATATGATGTCACATGACTTATTTCAATTGTTTTCATCATGTAACATAAAATATCACATCTGTAGAAATAAAAAAAAATATGAAAAATGTTTTTATTATAATTTATTAATTAAAGCTACTTTATTTTTATGCAACAATGTTACTGATTTATTATATTAATTAATACACTTGTATTTGCAGTATTTGACGGAGTCCACAGATTGGGTTTTATAAGATGGTATTCAAGGTAAAAAAACATTTATTTTCTCAATGGATGGTGGGATAATGAATGAATGAATTCTGCATTGATACCACAAATTATGCCCTCTGTAAATTGCTGAATGTATGGAGGAAAATGTATGTGAGAAACAAATGTTGATGCTGATATTGCCAACTTTTTTTATACAGTTACAGTGGGGCACAGTGGCTTCATACCTAAAGCCTACTTCATACCACAAAGTCAGTTCGCACGACATAGATATTTTGTATCATAGGTACACTTTGTCCTAAGTTTCTTTACATCACACAATCACTTTGTTTAAGGTCACTTTGTACCACATGTTCACTATAGTTAATATTTAAGCAATGAGAGTATTTTTTTATTAAAATAATATTTTGTACATGCATAAATACACTTCAATATGATTAAGTCCAAATAGCATTGAGTATTTTCGCATTGGGATACAAAGTGTATCATCATGAATGAATATTTGACAATTTTTTTTCTTTATTTTTCATTCAAATTTTATTTTATTTAACAACAATATTATCACCATGGCATTTATCATTATGTATATTATACCAGTATACTGACGGTGGTAATCCATTGATTTGATTGGTCCAAACACAACATTTGCATATGCATCATCTTCAAATTTAGCTATCATATAAATTTTTGACCAAGTGAAAATTATCAAAAAATTCTCTAACTAGAATCTCTAGACTAAACTAGAGTTTGTGTCTACATTTATGGTATAGAAATGACTTAACGATGCAAATTTACATGTTAATGCTAATTATGCTAACGGCTTCCTTTTCCATATTAAACATTGCCATATAATGTAGCACAGTTTATTAGGTTTCTTAAAGCTGAGGGTTTGTCACCTGCGCTTGTGCACAAAGGCTCATGGGTAGACACTTGTTTGTTAACAACGACACACTATGGCTGTTTGCTGCTTGCGGAGATGGCGACTCCCCCGCTTTAAAATGAGGAGGGAGACCAATGAATGTCCCCTCCTTAAAAATATAATGTTACAACTTATGTATGTTTGTTTCCTTAGTGTGAATACAAACCCAGAAATAGTTGTATCCAAAGATGGACAAATGGTTGTTTGTTATCATCCGTCAACCCCATTCCCATATGAACATAGCAGAGTAAGTAGAAACTGATAATTTGCAGTAATAGCAGTGGAGTGATTGAATGGAGCAGTGGAGTGATTGGATGGAGCAGTGGAGGGAGCAGTGGAGTGATTGAATGGAGCAGTGGAGTGAGTGGAGGGAGAAATGGAGTGAGTAGAGAGAGCAGTGGAGTGATTGGAGGGAGCAGTGGAGTGATTGGATGGAGCAGTGGAGTGATTGGATGGAGCAGTGGAGGGAGCAGTGGAGTGATTGAATGGAGCAGTGATTGAATGGAGCAGTGGAGTGATTAGATGGAGCAGTGGAGTGAGTGGAGGGAGCAGTGGAGGGAGCAGTGGAGTGATTGAATGGAGCAGTGATTGAATGGAGCAGTGGAGTGATTAGATGGAGCAGTGGAGTGAGTGGAGGGAGCAGTGGAGTGATGATATCTTCAATTCTCTCTTTTTAGAAAATATTTTTGTCATTTTTAGTAAAAAATGCTATTTTTGACTTTTTCCTTAAAAATACCAGGTCAATTACTTTGATAACAATTGCCATAGCAACAACCAGACAAACTGCCATGGCTGTGATTCAGAACATTGTGGTAACACTAAACATGGCAAATCACTAATATTTGCGGAAGAGACACTCTACAAGACAGTGGAGTTATTTAAAAAATGGGGTCGCTTGTTTTAGTAAGGGGTATATCATTAAAAATTCTGAGGGTAGAACTACATGTACTGTGAAAATTATTTTCCCCTTCACCTAGTTTTGAGATGTGTTTGATTGCTGTGTGCAATGCACACAACGGGAGTCATTGCAGTTCAGTTCATCTGTGTAGGTATTTGTATGGGTGTCTGTATATGTCTGTTTCACCAATATCTCAAAAAACAATTGTTAGATTTTAATGATACTTTGTGATAATACACCAAATCTGCACATGTTACAAATAAATAATAGTGTTGTACTCTACCCAACTCCCAAATAAATGGCATTCTTTTTTGGCAAAAATCGTTGAGCAACAGCCAAATGGGCTTATTTTATTATGAGACAACCAGGGATTGAGTGGGTGGAGGGAGCTCTAGACAAAGTTTTGTGAGTGAATAAAGCATTGATTACACCAACTAATATTTATATCATTATATTAGCCTCTTCCTAGACCAGACCCTGCCAGACCAGAAGAGACTCATGAAAATGTTTTGAAGAAACAATTTGTACAGTATCTACACAAAGAACGTGCCGGCCCTGATGAAAAGGAACTCGCAAAGATGTTTCACACAACCAAACACAGATGGTATCCTAAGTAAGTTAACTACCCAGACCTTTCACACAACCAAACACAGATGGTATCCTAAGTAAGTTAACTACCCAGACCTTTCACACAACCAAACACAGATAGTATCCTAAGTAAGTTAACCACCCAGACTTTCACACAACCAAACACAGATGGTATCCTAAGTAAGTTAACTACCCTGACCTTTCACACAACCAAACACAGATGGTATCCTAAGTAAGT